CTGCAGGCCCTGGGGGCGAGCGAGGGCAGGGCTGGGAACAGGGTGGTTGTTCTCTAGGTGAACAAGCAGGTAAATCTTGTACGTGTTAACAAGACCAGGTATTTATCCGATGATACTGAGTAGGGGTACGGCTGTTGTAGGGCATGAGAAGCATTGGGTTATATCTGAATTTTTCTGGGATAACGTGGGCACTGTGATGTGCCAGATGTTCTCCTGCTCTGCTTCAGCAAGATGTGTAGCGCTGTAGGTTGTACAGGGTCCTGAGGCTGACGTGTCGTGTGTGCCATGGGTGGAATGACCAGGTTTGTAGTACTTGCTCCCATCAGCTGCTGGATGCTGTAGGTAAAGAGTACAGGGAGTGTAGATGCCTTCATGGTTTCTGCCCTGGCCGTGGTGGCCACTGATCAGAACACAGTGTTAAGAGAGGGCTTTTATCAGTCTGTGTTGTATGGTTCTGTGAACATGACCCTTCAGCAAGGGAGAATAAATCTCAGTAGATCCAGTGTACAATAGCAGCTCTGTCAGGTGGGATATGCAAGCGTTTGTGTCTGTTCAGTTCCATACCATTAGTAAATTTTGCTTAGTGCCTACCACAGATGTGACAACTCTTTTATATTTGTTGGAGAGAGATACACATGCCCAGACACAGGTCCCGGTGTCTGGGAGCTATTGCAGAGTTCTGCCCAGCTCCCCAGCAGAGTGACGGACAGGGAGCAGCTTCCTGCTGGTTGGGCTGCAGTGAAGTATTTAGGAATGCTGCTAAAGATGGATGTAGTGGCCTGCTGTCAGATTTTGTCTGCACATTCAGCCCTGAAGAACTGGGACTGATAAGGAAACTTTTTTTACTGTGAGGGTGGCAGAGTACTGCAGGCTGCTGGGAGAGTTTGTGCGGTCTCACTCACTGGAGATACTCAGGTGACTATGCTGGAGGGGAGAGGTTGGATATAGGCATTAGTGTCTGCAGGGAGCACAATTAACCACAGTAATCTTAACCCAGAATTTTGTATCTAGATACACATAACACACCTCCTGCTCCAGTGCAGGCATGTAATTCTGCCATATTATTTTTTAAATTGGTATTTAGGGTTGTATTTTTAAAATATGATTGATAAAATGTTTCAACTGAGCTTTATTTTTAAGTGAAAAATTTCAAGAATGTTATTTTGAGCCTAGTTTGAAAAAGCGGTATCTAGGCTTATCAGATGTTAATTTTAAAAAACGTGAACGTATCTGAATGTTGCATATATGCGTCTGTTCCTCCAAATCTGTTGAGAAATACAGGCACATTCTTCTCTGTGCTTCATAGAGGGAAAAATGATTTTGTATTTATGAGTTACCAGCTTCTAAAAGGTTTAAAAACCTTCCCGGACATTGACACAAGTGCACGATGGGAGTAGGCTATTTTATTTATATTGGTGTTATATGACCTTGGAGGGCCTTTAACTGGGCTGGGTTCATGATATGGTAGGATCAGGTATATTTGATTAGTTTACATAGTTTTCTCCTGGAATTGAAGAGATTATTTTACAACAGTGATTATTGGTATTTTTCTTACTCTTGGAATTTACTTGTTGGAGCTGCAGAATCTTTGGTCAGTATACAATTAACTTTTGCTCCAGTCATTAGCTTACATTTGCTTTATCTCTTCAAACCATGCAAATTGCCATTGAAAAATGGCACACAGATATAACTTCCAGGAAGACTGTTATGTTATGCAATCTCTAAGACATTAAGAGTAATTTGTGTGTAGATCCATGGGATCAAAAAGGAGGCCGTTGGGGATTCATGGTTTTGAGGAATGTAAGAGAATGCTTTTACAGGTCTCTTGGTACAGTAAAAACTTTGGCTTTTTGGAATTTAACAATCAAGTATTCAGAATGTAAAATGTGTTTTTATCAAAACCAATGTGTGGATGAATTTAAATAAACTAATTACAGCCTATCTTTTTTACCTTACATATCTATTTGCAAAGATTAGTGTTACAGATAGAAATCCATAATTTAATTGTTAATCTGTTCTCTTTCGGTCTGTTCACCAAGCTTGCTATAAAAATATATTTAGATATTCTAAGCTTGTACGTTAGTAGGTGCCATTTTCTGAATTTAAAAATAGACTGCATGTGTTGCATAAAATGCCTTTGGGCAGGAGAGGAGGGGGATATCTGTCTGGTTGACATGAAACATAAGAAAAAATCTGAAGTATGCTAGAGCTAAATATACTGATAAGCATGCAGCTATGGGGGGAAAATGAGTTAAAATGTATTGAGTTTAGTCTGATTAGCACATTAAATGCCAGCAGAACAGTCATACCCAACCTTGTATTTCAGAAATAATCACCATGTTGCTGTGAAGAACTCGGCCCTTGTAGCATGTGCAAACAAAGGAAATATTTCTTTGGAGCCAGGTTGTGCAGGGCGCCGGTGGTTTGTTCTTTGTTCTGCCAGTGTCTGCAGCGCTGGTGCAGAAAATGGACGCTGCAAGGTTTAAATAAACTTTAGATACTGTAGCCCTGCAAAGGTTTTGAACTGATTCTTCTTTTTAAAAGTAAGTCTGAAGCAGATGTAAATGAGCACGGCTGGGCTTTTCCTGATGGCTCAGGGTGATACACCTTGGGATGCGAGGCTGTTCTGCTTCCTTCAGATTAGTTCATCACAAGGAAAGGTGTGAGATTTTTGCAGGCTTAAGAGTAAGATCACTGCAGCAGGAGACCCTTGTCAGAGGGGCAGGGTTGTCCTGTCTTTCCCTGTATTGCTTCTGAGTTTGGTGAGATCTGTTGTGATAATCCTGGGAGGATTATCAGAAAGGTAACATGTTTTTCTGTCACTGTAATTAAGCTGGCAATTGAGTAGTATTTTGCAACTTGTGTAGGCCGTGCATTTTAAAATCTCTTGGCAATATAGTTTAAAACAAAGTGATTCAGGGGCAGGAGTACGATAATGCTTGCCCCATTCAGCCAGATGCCAGCTGGCTGTGTACCTGGTGGGGCTGCCCTGAGTGGTGGCGGCTGAGGGACAAGGGCCAGCAGCACTGTCTGGTGCAGTGGTTGTGTGTGCAGGGCAGGTTTTCTGCCTGTGTCTGTGATTATGTGTGCTGAGCTCACGTAATGGCAGAGGAGCTACTGCTGCTGGGGCCCAGGAAGAAATATTTGTCAGGGCAGCAGAAGACAGAGATAGAAGTAAGATAGGAGTAAGCAGGCTTAAGGTCCTCCTCTGTAGCTACTGACCATGTGCAAGGGTCTTATGCCAAGGCTGGTGTTTTTCTGAGGAATGCATTTATCTTAAAATTAGTCTGGAACCTTTGATAGGGTCTTGGAGGATTGAAGACAAACTCCTGTTGGCAGGAAATGGCTCTTGACATATGGTGCCTCTAAATACAGGCATGGTTGGGTGTGATTTCACTGAATTCTATCTACTGCTTTCACCACTGGATTTGACTCTTAGGTAGTGATGGTCTGTAGATGTTTGGAGACTTCTTTATACTATTGTTAGAATTTGATTATTGGGCTTGAAGGCTTTGCTGATTTTATTTTGTGACTTCTCTGACCTTGGAAGTTCTTTGTATGACCCAGGAAGGAGGTTTGGAAACAAGCCCTTGGATAAGCTCTCTAAAGTACCACTCTCCAAAGTACGTCTGTCTCTCTAAAGTACGTCTGTCCAAGTCACTTTTAGGTTCTTCCTTTTTTTTGGTACGTTTCAAATACAAAATCGTACATTTTATGTGAGAGGCACAGTGAGAGGTTGGTTAGTGGCATCAGCAATACTAATCAAACATAATTCATCTGACTGTCATGTAAAGGAAGGTAAGGTAAGGTAGAGGGGGAAGAGTGCAAGTCACTTCAAAAGACCTGCTCTGAAACTCAGCTCTCCTCTAATCTGCCTTTCAAATCTGGCTTCTCCTGCCCTCATAGAGTGAATCAACCTGACATTTTAGCAATTTTTGAAAGAAAAGGAGTGAGGTGTTTAGAATGCATCAAAGGGGTGAAGCAGAGAACATCTGAAGAAGATCATCTTTTGTCTGATTGATACCCTCTTACTTCATTGCAGAAGAGAGAAAGTAGGTTAGGTCTTTGTCCGTGCTTTTCACTTTGTCAAGTTCTGTATTGTTTTTCTATGAAACTTCTAGTTAAGAAGATTTTATTTCATGAAATACTGTACATAACTTTCATATTTAGCATCTTTGATTATATGATTTATCAGGATGAAGTAGTCTTTAGCCTTTCCTGCTGCATACTGAGTGTATCCTTTTCACTCTGAAAATAATTCTGTTCTTAAATAGACCAACAGATTTTGAGCAGATATGAAGATACATAAACATGCATTAGTATGAGAACATGCATATTTATATATGTAGTATCTAGGGTCAGGTGTCCAACAGAGATATTTTCCTTGTTGTAGAGGAGTTGGCAGAAAAGATTTAAGTGTATTTTCTCTGCAAGTTGTAGGGGACAAAGAATCTGACTTCTTTCTTTCCAAGTATCTGCTTAGTGTGGAACTGCTTTTGAATGATTGTCTTAAAAATACCTGGTGCAACTCTGTTTGTCTTGCATTAGTATTGATGTTAGAAGCCTTACAGATTTCTTTAGGAGCAAACATAGGGCAGTGCTGAGTCCATCCAGAAAAGTCTCTATTTTCAGGTGTCCTTGCTTTTTCTTGCTTTTGCTATTGAGCTGTGGAAGCTGAGTTATGTGTTTGAGAGAGACAATTCTTTATTACTGGCTCGTCTAGACTTAGAAAGAGCCAAAAGGTGTGAATGCTTTTTAGAATGTGTTAATAACTTTCCTTCTACTATGTTATAGAAGTGTTTCATTTCAGGATTCCCTGCAGGTATAGCTTGAGCCATTGGTTGCAAGCTCCCTTGCTGTAGAAAAAAAGTCACCCCCTTTTATTTTATAGGAAATGTCAGTTATTTGAGTTGAGATGTTAAAGAAAATAACATGATTTAATGGTATCTATGTATTTCAACTTCAAGCAAACTATTAATGATTTTTTTTCTATTTTCCAGAGACGCATGGAATCTCATTTAGAATTCAAATCAGTGTACAAGAACTGCTGGATACAGATGTACTTTTAAAGCTGTTATTTCATTTACCAGTCAATTACCCATCAACTCTACCGGATATTTCTGTTAACTCAGACCAGCTTACAAGGGCCCAGTGTATGGATGTGAAAGAGAAATTACTGGAACAAGCAAAGCAGCATCTTTCTGAACCCATGGTACACGATCTGATTCTTTGGGTGCAGCAGCATCTTAAAGATGTCATTAAGCAATCAGCAACAGTTTGCAATGAAAAAACTACTTTGTCAAAAGGAACAGAAGATGGTATCTGGATGCTCCTTTTGCATTTAGATCACATGAGAGCAAAGGCAAAATATGTGAAAACTGTGGAAAAATGGGCTTCAAATCTAAGGCTGACTGGAAGACTGATGTTCATGGGCAAGATAATATTGATTCTTCTTCAGGGTGACAGGAGCAGCATTAAGGTGCAGGAACAATGAATGTTGACTAGTTTTATCGATTTACCACTGAAACCTCAGTGTCTGAATATTTTGTGTGTGTTTTTCTAAGATTAACAATTTTGGAAGCAAATTGATCATTATGAGAGTAGGAAGACCCAGCAACTTTATTCTGTATTTAAGAAAAAGAAGGTGTTCTATTCAGTGATACTTGTAGGCCTGTAGCCTGTATTGCTTTGCTTCCCACTGGAATTATACCCACATATCCCTTTGTTTCCTGACCTTCATATGCCTAGATTCAGTTTCCTGTATTTCCCAAATGCCTCAGAAAGTGGAAAATTTTTTGGTTAGGAACTAATAACAGACATATTTCTAATTCATTGCTAACTGTCTCTTTCTTTGACTTAAAACCATGTGGTGCTCCTAGTGCATGCCTGGGCTTTGAAATTCTTGTCTGTACATACAAACTCCCTCTGCCTTAGGTGGGTTTTTGTGGTGATGTTGGAGGAGAATGTTTTGGCTTTTCTAACTAACATGTTCTCTTAATCACTTAGGCCTACTTAACTTAAAACTGATGAATAGAAGCAGTCGTGCACTTTTTGGGATGGGCACTTTCAAAGTTTGATTGCTGTGTTCTGAAAAAAAGACTACATTTTGAGTGAGCTTTTGCATTTTACTAAACTTTGGAAATACTAGGTGACATTTAATATATTGGGATTTTTTCCTGTCATTTAGGAGTACTTGATTCTTCAGAAAACTGCTAAGGTAGATGTGGACTCAAGTGGAAAGAAATGCAAAGAGAAAATGATGAGAGTACTGTGTGAAACAGAAGTACAGTCACAGCATAAAAGGTATAATTTAGTACTGTTGTGGATAGAAAAGTAACAGAATCGATAATTACATTCTGACAAATGCAGGCATATTCATGAGTTTCCCTTTTACAATGTAGGTTTCAGACGTTTGAAGTCAAAGAATATTCAGCACCAGAGGAGCTACAAAAGGAATTTGAAACTGCAGGACTTACAACTCTTTTCTCTGAGTTTGTGCCTCTTCTCTTAAAATAAAATTGTAAGAAACCACTGGACCTTTGACCAAAGCAGTAGTTGACTGCAGATGCTGATAGAAGATAAAAGGACTAATGTGGCAAAACAACGTTGAAGCTTTTCTGCAAAAAATACCAGTAGTAGTCATCTTTTTGCAAGAAGAAAGCAATTAATACATTAAGAACTGATAATTTTTTTGACATTTATGTATTAATTAGTAACTTTTTCCAAACAGTGATGTTAATTGTGGTAATTGCATGGCAAGCATGAAAAACTGGGAGGAAATAATGTTAAAAAATAGTCTTCTAGTCAGACTCTGTTTTAGAGTCCCGTTTTTCAATGTTCTGTTTCTTCTCTCTCATGGTAGAATGTGTCGTTAATGGCCTGTTAGAAAGCATGATTAATTTTGCTTTGGAAGTCTGTATGAAGATATTTCCATAAAAAAACATAGTGAACACACATTTGAATATGTGAGGACAGCATATACTTAATATCCCTTAGGAGTTAATCTGCTAATTCTTCATTCTCCCTGTAATTGGCTATAAATGCTAGATGGTTGATTTGAAGAAAAAGCTCATGTCACTTGGGGCCTTAAAAAACTTAGAAGTGTCTCTTTGAATATTAGTTTTTATTCTAAAATTTACAAAAACACCCACGTGGAGGATTTAAATTGATAAAAAGCTGAGGCAAAACCAATTGTAATATTTTCTTTGATAGTTTACAGATATCTTTTTGCATTTTACCTGGTTTTACTGTCTGTGCAGCTTTAGATATCTTGATTCAATTAAACTGGAGCAGTATATACAGATTTCAGTCTTCTGTCTTTCAAGGCTTCTGCCAAGTTGTTTTTGTTTGTTTTATTTGTTTTTTTTGATTGGTCACTGGCCTTGGCCAACCTGAATTGTTTTTTATCAGTAGTCTGTGTTTTACATCTGTATAGTGTTACAACTTATATGCCTAATTTTATGAATTGTGCAAGTTGTGCAAGTTCTGTTTACCTAGGGAGGATTGAGTACTTACTTATTATGATTATTAATGTCTGTCCTTTGGTTTCTATTTTACCTGAAATCATTCTCTAACAAGACTAGATAAATTAACCAGTAATAAAAATTCTGCAATCATGAGTTTCTTAGTAACTAGCACTGCCATTTGCCATTTCAATTGGCTTTAGCATGCAGCTAAACATGTGCTGTACTGCTCTATAAAATTCAGTCTCAGAAGCCAAATGTCTCAAGTATTCTGTAATTAAACAGATTTGATCAATTCAGTATAAACTAATTTATTTTCATTGTACTGAGGGAAGACCAGTACAATTTGTTTAGCTCTGAAAGTGTGGTTTGGCAAGATCTGATTTCCTGTTTCATGCTCAGACCATGAGATCATACCTCTTTCTTTATATATTCTACAAAAGTAACTAAATGAGACTAGGAAAATGTTTATATTTTACTGTTTGAGATATCAGATGCATAAAGGGTTATAGATTGTTTAAAGGTTTCTGAAGTTTTTCAGGATTTTGGTGATTTTCCTAATATAGAGCAACTTTAATATGTATGCTGCATGTTATTTTATACACTGATGCTAATTTACTGAGATAGTAGCAAAGTTCTTCTTAATGAGTCTTTTATGTTTGCCACATACAGTACTTCAGGCTCAGTAGAAAAGAAACTGGGTTGAAGAGGTTTTACAAATCTGTTCTGTATTATTTTGAAATGGCTTCCTGAGAGACAAGAACTCTAATTTTCTGTCATTTTAAGTGCATGTGAAGATGAATTTCTTATTTTTACAAAGAAGAATAAAACAGAAGTATCTTTAAAATATTAAAATAACATGTATTTTAAATTACAGTTTCCAGAATCGAGCTGTTCTGAGGTAAAATATCTGTGGAAAAATTGTGTGTCAGTGCAGTATAAAGTTTTGAAAAGCTGCAGAGGGTTTCTCCTTATACTTTTTGACAGACCTGGCAAGTACAAAACTCAAGAAAAGGCCTGTGCATGTACAGCATAAGAAAACAATCTGTATCTCTCTGCAAAACTAAATGTTACAAGATTTTGCCAGGTGCATTGTAAATCTGCTGATTTTAGGAATCAGGTTGAATGGCATATCCACTCATGTGATTGCAAAATGCGTGTGACTTCAAAAATAATTGAGGTGTAGGTCGTGGTCATCTTTCTTGCAAGATGCTAAAGTTTTCTTCCCTACTAGAAGAGCCATTTGTGCTGTCAGTGGCTGCCAGTTGCACTTGAATACAAACCCATATATCTTTTTGAGTTTTATTGTCTGATGCCTTCTTGGTCAACTATTTAGCCAGAGCTGGTATTCTTCAACAACGAGTTAAAAAGAAAAAGTGACGGTTGGGTAAGTTGCAGCTCTCTCCTGATCTGTGCTCATCTTCCTGCCAGGTGAAGTTGTTGTAAGAAGCTGGATTATTTCTGTGTTTCTGGAGATGGAAAATGCAGTTTATACATTGGATTTTTACCATAGTTGAATTTTATATTCACTAGCTCACACTGTCCACACTTGTGGACAAATCCACAAGTTCACTGTAGGAAAGGACTGCAGTTTATAGCTTGGTTTGATGTGCTTCAAGAGAACTGCAAATCTGATCAGCTTGATACAGTTCAGACAGCAGAGAACATGAAAACTGATGTCTGTCTGATTCTGTTAAAGCAAATACTTTTGCCCAGCTATCAATGTCACTTATTTTGAAGGGTAGGAGGATATTTCCTCTTCAGACAAGTAAACAATATTTTTAAAGGCTGTCCTTTTGGAAGGATGTTGCAGCTGTCTGTTAAGTTACGGTTTGTTTGCATTCATTGTAAAAAGAGATGAGCTAGCCTGTGAGCCTCAGGGGCACAAAAGTCATCAGAATGGGTCCGGTGGTGCATGTTCTGCCTTCCAAGGGAGCTGAAGCAGGCACAGAGGAGCAAAATGCACAGATACAGAAGAACAAGAAGCAGGGGAAAAAAATGAATCAGTGTGTAAAAAGTTAGTGAAGCATATGTAAGTATTGGAATCTGACAATTCAGTTGCAAGGAAGAAGAAGCCCACAAATTAAAGGTGATTTAACAGATTAGAAGGTAACTTTCTTGTGGATATGGTATTATAAATAGTTCTTCAAACAGCATGGTCAGTAAAGCTTTGTTTCCTGTGGCCTTGCTAGTTTCTAAGCACTAGCACACATGAAGCCCTCCCTGCAGGAGTTCCATTCCTGATGATGTCTTCCCAGGTGGGTTCCCCTGTGCCTGGTATTTATTGTGCATAAATTGATTATTGCTTGCATAAATCTTTAAGGTATGAATAGCATTATTTCACCTGTTACCTTTTTCATCAAAGTTGTATGTACTTGTTTTCTTTCCGGTTGTTAACCTCTCATTTTAATTGAAATGACAAATTCAGATGTTCTAGGGAAACTTCGTAGTATAAGCATGCTTGCTTCTATATGGGCAGAACAGATGTATAACCATAGTTTCCTTTAAAAAATCAGGCTAAAATGAAGGATGTTGCAATAGGACTGACAACTTGAAGAATCAAGTCTTTTAGGACAAAACTGAGATATGACTGGTCTTTTTTAATACCTTGGCTTATTAAGTATGAGAAAAACAAGAAATAGCTTGAGGAGAAAAGAATGATCCAGAGGAGGGAAATAAATGGGGGCCATCATCAGTATTGGGAATTCACCTGGTTTTCATACTTTCTCAGTCTCATTATTTTCTCCCCCATCACCCCGAATTTGTTATTTGATGTTACATGGAGGACAGGACAGTGTAAGAACTCCTATATGAAAATCCTTGACACAATCAATTAAAAATAACTGAAAGTAGATTTGATTGTTTTGTGAATAAGGCCGAGTTTTGTGGTTTGGTAGTTGCATCTCAGTTTCCTATAATAAGAACATTTGTCTCTTCTGATGTGAATGAACCATGAAACCCACTGAGATTAGTATAAATTATATGCAGGGGTACTGTAACGAGCTTAAGAAACTTCATAGTGGAAAAAATATTTTGTTTACGTTGTTTCTTTTAAAAATAGTTTAATAAACCCTATATATGGATGATTTAAAGCCTAGTGTCCCTTGATTTGTTTAGATTTATCTGTGAAAATACAAGCAATCATGCTATAGTACATTTGAAATAAGATGATGAAATGTTGCACTCACTGTATTTCACTGTATTTCTGCCAGAGTTTGAGACTGAAATTGCTTATATTATGAAATAGTGCAATTGCTGGAATCAACTTTAATATATCTTGTAGTAATACTAAGCATTATCTTCCTGTCTTTTTGTGTGTAACACAGGCAGCACTGGCAGAACTCTGCTATGGTTTTATATTTTGTGTGTATACTTAATTTTTGTTATCTTATGCAAGAGGTATGATTGTTTATATTCTTAATTATAGACATAAATGGAACTTGGAATATAAATATGCTGATAGCATTTTGCAGCTCTTGTTCTGTGCTATGTTCAAAAATTGGGTTTTATATTAGTTTGTGTTGTCTAACTTCAAAGTGTTAACCTGCAGTGACAAGAACTCTTTAGGGTGACAGAAAAATTTGCCTAAAATACATTAATTTAAGGAATTCTTTGGACTCTAAAGATGAATCCGTGAATGTTTTGAGTTAATTATGCACTTAGATGCTTTAATTTTATGGTAATGAGGTAGCAACTGCTGCACTTTTGAATTTTCTCTGTATTTCTTAATGTGATACCAGTAATCTGTTTGTATCCTGTGTTAGAACATAGCCGATCATGGAATTTGGGTCGATATTGTATTAGTATTTCCCATTGTAAATATCTGTGATTCTTTATATGTATACATTATTATCCATTATAACTTGAATGCAAAGCACTGTTTCAGGATGAGACTTGTTACAAAAGGTCTCTGCATGAGAACAATAACTCTACTTTGTGTTGCTTTTCCTGTTGTCAGCTTTTACTTTCCTGCAGCTGTGGGAGGCTGTCCAGTGATCAGTTTTCTGGAGCTGAGCTTAACAGACCATCCCAGTGTGTTACACTGGATCTCAGTGCCAGCTGGGTGGAGGCAGGGTGCTCTCCAGGCCTTTGTGGGACCACTTCTGACAACATCTGACTGTGACTGAAGGGATTAGCTGGGTATTTCTGGAACTTCTCTTAGAGAATCAATGGAGTGAATTCCACCAATGCAGAAGGTGCATGGTTGGCTGCTGCTTGATCTGAGCTTTACATCAGGAAAGCTCTCTGGTACTCCTCTTATGTTACTGCCATGGAGGGTAATAAGCTGAAGTTTACACTTGTGCTAATCCCAGGGAACATTGCACAGCAAAATCAGTGCCACGATTTTAAGACTGAAGGTGGTAAACTCAAAGTACTTGGTACTTTTTTTTTTGTCAAAAAACCTTGGCTGTTTTTTAGTTGCACTTAGAAAAAAGACAAATGGAAAATGATTTTATTGGTCTGTGATCAGTCAGTCACCTGTAGTGGCATACAGAGGCAGGATAAATTTTTATGTGATAGGGTGCTGTGACTACCTTTCAAAATAAATTAAAAAGCAGTTCTTTTTTGAAGTAAAATAACTGAATTGCTTGTGAGAACACTGTCCACGTGAGATGCTGAACAGAAGCTGAACTGTATGGATTGAGCTGTGCCAGAGGCTGATTTTTATTTGGTGGAAGCGGAGATGTTAGAAAGGAACAGACGGCAATAAAAACAGTGGTGATGTGGCTCTCAGAGAAGCCAAAAGGAAGGGTTTTTTGCATTGATTTCTCTCTGGAAAGAAGTTTGGGAGTATGAGCAAAGAAGTTGCTACTGTATCCAAGCTTCAAGTAGAAATGTCTGAAATAAATATGCATCTTCATTGTCATTTTCTCTTTTTAGCAGAGACGGCGTGTAGAACTGAGAACAAGTAGTGGAAGTTTTCACAAGTGTAGAAACGGCAAACCTCACTCAAGAGCTGTAGGCTGTCCATGAAGGAATTAGCGCAGTTCTTAGAAATTGTCCTCAGATGACTCAGAAATGACAGAGATTTTGTAGAGGCAACAAACTCCAAAAGCCTCATGGTTTGAAAACCAAGCTGTTGTAGCTCCGAGTGCTTGGGAAGATTGATGGAAGAGGTGACCAGCAGCTCCCAGGAGCAGATTTTCTACAAAATTTGGGCATTCTGGAAAGCAAGGGCTAAGGGGGTTGATAAATTACTTTTTGGGGAAAAAATACATTCTGCTTATTTGTGGAATCAGAGAATACAGGTAAGTGTTTGATTTTTACAAGACCTTTTCTGCATTGATTCTATAGACACCTGATATGGAGATTTTAGATGGTCCTTACTCAAATAGTGTCTAATGTCTTGGGAACCTGATGTATTTCAATTCTACATCAATTAAGAAGATTTCTGGGTGATGTTGGCAGTCATTGGCATGAAAAGATTTAAGTACTGCAAACCTATTCAGGATCAAGGATTTACTATGGAATTAAGAAACAGCTTTTAAGTAGGAATTAGACAAGGCACATCTAATAAGAGCAAAAACAGAAGGGAAAGAAAACACTCCACTGGAATAGCTACAAGAAATCCAGAAAGTCAGATTTCTGAGGTGCTGGTGTGGCAAAGGTGGACTTCAGGGTTACCCTTGCATTGACAAGAAGCCAAATGATGTAAACTTAGCTGGGTATGAGGGTGTCAGTCAGAGTTTCTGGGCTGTACAGTGCTTGGCACAGTATCTGTGTCTTTTCTGCCAGCATTGCACCAGATTTATTTTTTCCCCCCATTAATTTTTAAATTTATTTTGAAGGCAGCTGCAGGAAGGGAGAGGGCAGTTGCTTGCTATGAGTTCTGTTCTTATGATTCTAAAAGATGCTACAGGTATCCTTCAGGTTAATTTTGAAGAAGTAGGGGAATGCTTTTTAAAAGAAATAATGGAACAGAGATAGAATCTCAGGAGAAACTGTTAATTTACATATTGAAGCTGTGAAAAAAAAAGATTTGTCACAAGAAGAAGAGTCATAAAGCAGAGCAGAAGTAAAGGTGTCCCCCCACTGGTCCAGAGTTGCCATCTCTCCAGGCTCTGGTAGAAGCTGATGTTAGTGCTTAGCAGAGGAGAACAGGTATTTCTACTCAGGAGTGCCTGATGCTGGCACTAAAGAGCTTTTTGTGCTAGAAGACTGGGGACAGCTAAAGGCAAAGCTTGGAAGCACAGGCAGCATGCTGACAATTTTTTAGGGTCTCAGCTTTGGAACAGTCATGAAAGCTGGGCTACTCACTGTGTAACACTGTGGGTAATATCCACAGGAGTTCTGGTACTGGCTCTGATTAAACCGATGAAATCTGTTAGAAAAGGTAACAAAATTGTGTAATCATTCCCAAAGAGAGGTGGTGATTGTAGAGGGTGAAGCTGTTCAGTACTGGAGAACACTGGTTTTTGAAAGCTGGATAGTTTTCAGCATCTGGGACAACGCAAAGCTAATCCCTGGGATCTTTTTGCATAGTTCTTAGCAACAGCTGCGAAAAAAAGGGGGGAAGGTTTGATTCTTGCTTATGAAGTTATGGATTTTTTTCCAGAAATTCATTGCTAAGTTGAAACAAATGAGTTGTGGATAATAGTTTATCAGCAAAAGTTTTCCTACTTAAGTAGAATGTTATAGAGTTCTAAGAGGAATTTTAACTGTTAGGTTTCTTATGGATATGAATAAGAATGGGTTTCAGCTCCCTAAAAATGTCTTATTAACAGTAAATCATTAAAGCACTGCAACAAGCATTAGAAAATTTCAACTGCTGTAGTATAAACTACAGAAAGTTGTGAGTATAACTCCTGTTATTCAATATTTTGCAAGGACCCTTGGGATTAGCAGCAAGGGGAGGTCAGAATTTTCTGAATAGTAATAAGAATTTAATTTTTTTTTTCTTAGCCAGCAGCAAGAGTTTCCATTTTTGCCAGCTTTCCAACAGCAGAAAGAAAAGGGATATACTTCTGGAATACTATGAAGGGGTAACACAACTCTTAACATATCTGTAGATTTCATTCGTAAGTTTCAAAACCAAACACAAGCAAACCCCAGAACAGTCTGGGAAAAGATTATTTTCATGGTAAAATATAGCTTTTGGCAATCTGAAGTGATAGCTTTTGTGTTGTGCACATGTATTTGAGAAATTATTGTCTGCGGAGGTAAGGGGTGCTTTTTGGTTTGGTTTTGTTCTTTTTTTCCTGTTAAAGCCGGAAGGGATGCTGGAATGTGCTGAAACATTTGAGCAAGAACTAGTATGTGAACAAATACCCTGCAGTAGACCTCAGGTCGCCTCTCAAGGTCAAACATGATGTGAGTTGTTCCAAAGTGTGCTGAAGAATACAACATTGAGTGCAGGGAGCTCTGGGTGAGCCCAAGCCCCAGGAAAAGGAGGCACAAAAAGGGCCCTTGACCTGTGGCACAGCCAGGTACTGGATGCTCAGGGACATGGCAGGACCCCACTGCCCCCAGCCTGGAGAAACCAGCTCCAGCTGTTACTCTGTTATTTAGTGATTGCACAAGGATTGAATTGTTTCCAGGAGCAGCAGGTCTGAGGCTGTGCCGTGGGCCAGCTGTGGTGTGAGTGTGGGATGTGCAGTGGGGAAGGGACCTCAGTCCCTGCTCCAGTTTGTGAGAGGGACTCCTGAACCC